GCCCCCACCCCTCCAGGCAGAGAACCGCCCCCCTCGGCCCCACCCCTCCAGGCAGAGAACCGCCCCCCTCGGCCCCACCCCCATCCCTGTACAGTGCATGGCAGCCCCACAACATGCGCTCCCTCACGCGCCCGGCCCCTGGGTGATGTACGCCGGGAGCCCGGCCGGCGCCGCAGGGCATTGTGGGAGGTGGGCTCCCAAGGGGCACTGGGGGCCGATATGGGACCTGATGCGTTCTCTCAGCCGGGGGCGGTCGTGAGGGGGCCCGTGAAAGGGGTTGGGGGAGACGGAATCCTATGGGGAGGGCCCAGAACTGCCCCAGAACTACAGCTCCCATAAGAACGCGATGCCCCCCATGAGCCTCCGTGCCCCAGCCTGGCCATTCCACAAAGCACTCTGGGCAATGTAGTCCAGCGCCCCCGGGGCTATGGGGGGGGGCACTGCTGTGGGAAGCTCATGGCGCAGAGCCCCTCCACTGCTCTGGGGGCGAAGGCGGCGAGGAGCCCCGGGGGGGGGTCAGTGACCCGGAGGCGCCTGGTTCGTTCTGTGCAATGGTTTATTCCAGGGGACCCCTAACAACCGGCCCGGCCCCAGCAAGCCCGGAAACTGCAGCATGAGAATCGCTGCGTGAGCCACCGGGGAGGGGCCAGCTGGGGGGCCACGGGCCCTGCTGCCCCCTCAGAGCCGGGTGTGGAAACGCAGGTCACTCCCCTCCATCCGCTGGGCCCATTCGGCGTCAAACCGCTCGCTCTGCGCCACCGTGAACTGGGTCTTCCAGTCGCCCACCGTGCCTGAGGGGAGAGAACCCAGGTGTCCGGGCTCATAGCGATGTGACCCCCCACCCCCCCGAGCTGGGAGAGAACCCAGGCATCCGGGCTCATAGCAACCCCCACCCCCCCTGAGCTGGGAGAGAACCCAGGCATCCGGGCTCATAGCAACTCCTCCCCAGGGGCGGCTCCAGGCACCAGTGCAGCAAGTGCGTGTCTGGGGCGGGAAGCCGCGGGGGGCTCCATGTCTGCGGGAGCTCCACCGGGCCCGCGGCTTCTGCGGCAATTAGGCAGTGGGGACGCCGATGTCGCGGCACCAGCGGATCCCCCACAGGCGCACCACCGAAAGCTGCCTGACAGCCATGCTTGGGGCGGCAAAATACATAGAGCTGCCCCTGCACCGGCCCCAAGACCCCCCCCTCCCCCCCGGAGCTGGGAGAGAACCCAGGTGTCCGGGCTCCTAGCCCCCACCTTTGCGCATGAAGGGGGATACTGCATGGTCCAGGATGAAGGGGGGCACCGTGCTGTAGTTGGCCATGGGGTTCTCCCTCATGCTCTCGAACGACGTGTGCTCGACGATAGTCTCCAGAACCGGCTCCGGCAACTCCCGGCCCAGGAACCGACCCACCTTCTGGATCTCACCTCTGGGGTCCTGGCGGAGAGACACAGGGCACTGCTGGGGGGAAGCTCGTGGCGGCAGGGGAGCCCGGCCGGGGGCACCGCCGGGGGGAAGCTCGTGGCACTCACCTTGTGGAGCTCCTCGTAGAAGAGGTAGAGGATTCGGTGCTTGTCCCTCGCGTCCCACCAGGCGCGGACGTGGTCGAACCAGGAGCCCCAAGGCACTGTCAGAGAGACGGGGGGGTCAGGCTGGGGGGCTCAGAGCGGAAAGGGGGGCTGGGCCAGCCAGGTTCACTCACCCCCCCCAGACAGAAAGGTCTCTAGATACTGGTCCCAGCAGCCCGGGGCTGGGAGCCACTGGTTCATCCGCTGGAAATGGAAGTAGGAGACGGCGTTGTCCTTCGGGTTCCGTGCCACGTAGATCACCTGGGGGGAGAGAACAGGGAGAGAACCCAGGCATCCTGGCTCCCCCCTCCCCCCTAACCTCCAGCCGCCCCCCTCCCAGGAGAGAACCCAGGCATCCTGACCTTACAGTCCTGCTCCCAGAAGGAGGGGGGCACTAGCTCCAGGGGCAGGTGGGTTTTCAGGGTCCGTGGGGGGGGCATCGCTGCAGCCTCTTCAAACCCTGAACCAGACGGGGGCACCGGTGAGTGGGGTCCGGACCCCATGGCACGAGTCCCTCCCCCGCCCCACCGCACGGGACCCCCTCAGCCTGGCTCACCACGCGGGAGGGGGCGGGGCGGGCAGAGCTCCAGAAAGGGGATGCGCTGGTAAATGGGGGCGCGGCAGCACTTCTGGGGGTCCCCGTCCTGCTGGATCATGTCCACGATCTCCTGAACCCACGTGGTGCCTGCGGAGACGAGAGACCTCAGCCCTGCCAGTGCCCCTCACTCCCGACCCGCAGCCCCCCAGCCCTGCCGGTGCCCCTCACTCCCGACCCGCAGCCCCCCAGCCCTGCCGGTGCCCCTCACTCCCGATCCGCACGCCCCCCAGCCCTGCCGGT